GGTCACCTGAATATTGCATTTCGTTGGTATTTGCCATAGCTTTTTAGTTAGTTCGAATGAAGGTAGGCATATCCACTTTTGCGAGTTATTTTACAATTCCCTCCCTGCCATTAGCTTTTCACGGCCAATATGCTTCATTGTATTATTTCTCTCGAGTATCCGCTGTCAAGGAATATCCAAGTCAACTTTTCCTAGTCCTCTTCCCAGAATTCGACGTCCGTTAATGGTAGACTTCTGATGAGCAAGCCCCTCAATATTCCTATCTACATTCTACAGTTGTGGAGATAATCGAAATTTAGTATTATTCCGGCATATGACTTGTTTGTGAGCAATTTCATCTTGAGTGTCCCATTAAATCGAAGGACTTCAATATCCACTCACCACTTCTACTTCCTTTGTGTAGTTGGTTCTCTCATCAATCTGGTTTATAGCCCTCGAAAAATCCTCCAATTTATCTCGTCTCTGCTGCCAAAGTGCGAAGTAGGCATCCAGATACCGCATATGCATCCTTAGTTGCAGCGGTGATGCCCTGAAATTATCTTCAAATTTATAGGGCTGGTACCACCTCGTTTTCGCAACTTGGTCAGAGAATCAGGGAGGCCTGTGGAATGCACTTAGTCTCGTGTCCTCTGCCATAGTAGTCGTGACGTCCAGAATCGGACTATTGAATTTGTACATTCACAAACGTTTTGCCGGCATTATCAGTGAGAGGTGCAATGTACAAAAGTATCATGTAAACGAATTGCTAACTCTCTGCCATCGTCAGCAGGTATATACAATCCCTTTGACCAATTTTCTGTTCAGCCGTTGTGGCATCACTCTTTGCCCCTATTTTTTGTTATACCATCTAGGACTGCATCTCTTTCTCTCAACTCCACTTCAGTCCCCCTTTTCCTATCTCACTTGTCAATTGGTCGCTGCTTAACATCAAAATCACTTTCTGAATGTCTGTTATCTGGCTACCGAAGAGCCTTCAATTCCCGTCCCTGATTAAGACATATTCGAGGATATGAGTATATGGTTCTAATGTCTATGCCCGAGGGACAAATAGATGCAATGTTGGAAGGAAGACCTAAACATTGAGGTACCAGCTGTGAGGCCACAACGTTTTTACAGAAAATTGGTCAAGGGGAATGCCTTCATTTGTCACTTTGATAAGTTGTAACTCTGTGTTGGTGATAGCCCCTCTCAATGGCGTTGTCAACTCCAATCCTGATGGAACATTTTGGAATGTACTAATTTAATGGTCCGATGCTCGAAATCACGAACACTATGACAGATGTACATCACAGTACTAAGTACCTACCGCAAGGTCTCTCTGAAGCTTCAAACAAGTTGCAAAAACGACGTCGAGCCAACATTATAATGCTATAAGAGACTGCGACCAAAGAAAGCTACGTTATCTTTGTCTTCATACCTACCATCTCTCCTAATTTTTTCATGTATACACTTGCCGATAGAGGTGGGAGCGGTGATCCTATAGGAACTCCAAATGTCATTTTGAAGAAAAAAGTGTAGTCTTTCCTTTAGGATCATAGTGGTTTCAGGATCACAAAGAAGCAAGGATAAATTCATTATCTTATTCCGTTCGTCGTACCGCTCAGTAAGTGTCGTCACCGCAGAAACCCCAAAAACTAGGTCCGCTGGCTTTAATCTACGCCGGCTTATAATCCCATGCCTAAGCAATTTATTGTCCTGTCAGAGAAACCTATGATATGGCGAGAAATAAGCTCCGGCGTGACATGGCCAGGATTCTGATTCCGGAAGATTTTCCAAGCCTCTTGAGTATAGCCGACAAGAAATCGCATAAGATCTTTGATTTTGATGTTTGGAAGCGACCAATTGATAGGCCGGGTAGAAGAAGGCGACTGAATGAAGGTCAGGAGCCTTGCAAATGGCACGTGGAACCGGCCATGAAGATGATTCGCTGCACTAAACCCACTTTTAGCGACACACTATTATGCGACATTGGAGGAAACGAGACTACAGAATTGTATGAATAGGTGGATGGGCCACATGAAATGGGGCTTGGAGAAGGAGATGTGGCACTGGAACATAGAACAC